AGTAATATTTACATTCTGGATGATCCTTGATTGAAAAAAAAAGCATGAACACTCTGTTAGCTTAAAAAAAGAAAAAATAATAAGAAGAAAAAAAAGGATAAGTAAGAGACTGTTGTGTGGTTCATGCAGCAGACATCTAGGGGCCAATTTTAATTGCTTTTGGTGTTGATTCTTAGGCATCTGTTAAAGAAAAGGTATGTAGGTTGTAGTTATTGTACACATGCATAAATCAGCATTCACTAGGATTTGTTATATATGTAACCAAATAATTTTTAAAATACATACTCATGTTTAAAATCTGTGTTCAACCAGCCTTACTGGTTTTGAATAAGAACATCAGTGTAAAATGTTATTTATTATATTGTTACTATCGGAATGCATGCTGCAGATTTTATTTAATACTGGAATACAGCAAGTAAGCAGCAGTTAAAAATCTGCTGGAGCTCAGCATTTCCACAGAGAAAATTCTCAAATTTCTTAACACAAGGATTGATAATTATGTGCATTTACTACAGTAGTTAAAAATCCAAAGTTTTGTTACTTTTCTTTTATGAGAAGGTGCTTTAGTTAAGAAGATACCCTTAAAGTGGACCAGTGGTGTGCACTGGTATGGAAGTTTTGAGAGCTGATTTAGAGTGGGATAGCTTTTAATTGATTGTAAGGCAGGTCCTTTTCTGTAGACTCTCTTTTGTGAATTTAGATGTTTGGACCACATTGCGTGAGTAAAATGAATAGTCAGTGCTGCAGATGGTTGAATAGGCTGTAAAAAATTGGCAGACTGGAAGAGAAGAGGATGGTCCATGAGACACTAAAATTATCTTCTGTAATGCAGAGCCAGAGACACCTTCTTAATAAGCCCTGTGGTTACTAGAAACAAAGGAGAACAGCTTCTTTCCCTCTTCTCAGAGATGGAGAGCTCTTGACTTTTTGATAAGTGTGTTTATCAAGAAGATGTAAATTATACCATCCTGGATGTCCTGCTATTGTGATTCTACTGCTTCTGTCCTCACACTAATGTGAAATTGTGGATCTGCCTGACATGTATCCAGGCTTTGTGAAGGACACAAGGGAAGTGCCATACCTCTATTATACTAGAAAGTATAATTTACTAAGGGAGGAGGAAGATATTTTCAGGAAAATGTTTCTGAGGAAAACTGATTTGTGTAATTTGCAAATCCTACCCATAAAGAGAGCATACGTCAACCTCTCTTGTCTATGACTGTGAACAGAATGCTTAAGTAGATAAAGCTGATGGTGACTGATACTCAAAAGAGTGTGTGGGTGGAGTGTATGCTATGTCTTCTTTATTTTCTGTTTGTCGTCAAGTAACACATTATGTTAACCTACTACTCTGATTATATATGAAAATGGGGGAAGATGGGGTGATAATTGAGGTTTAAATATATGGTAATATGTTTCTGTTTACGGGTTTGAAGCTTTTTTGCTGTGTGATGGTGGCAGGGAACAAATATCCCATGGTTCTTGTGTTTCAAATGAAATAATAAACTCCAAACATGTAGGCATTTTAGAACATTGTGATTAAAGTTTCTTATACATATTTATATGTTTACATGAAAAGGCAGGTAATTAGTGCCATTTGTTTGTCAAATGTTTTATACTGGATGTGGTTTCAAGAGTGTGAATCTTTACGTTTGGAAGGCTGCAGTGGCATAATAATGTGTGAAAGTTTGCTCTCAACATGCTGCTATTCCCTTACATTCTCCTGAACAAACACCCACTCCATCAATTTGTGTATTCCTTTTCCTTCAACTTCACTTTGTCCAACTGTTTCTTTTACAGAGGTTATTACATAGTTATTGTGCCTTTGAAGAGGTCTCGTGGAAAGTTTATCAAACCATGGGAGAGTCCAGATGAAATGGAACTAGATGAGGTACTGTATGTGTTTGTTGTCATCTTTTCTGTCATTAAAGAAATGGTCTTATTAGTGGTATATGACTAACTCACCAGTTTCAGAAGTTTTGGTTGTCAGGATATTATATTTATATTTGAATTAGCCTGTGGGGACTGAAACAGAAGTTCAAATTACTTAAATTAGAAGGTAATAAAGATATTAAGTTGCAATAAAGCACACAAAGTGTCTGATCTCTGTTGGCATTAATATTTTATTCTTTTCCTATTGTAAAGTGTAATGCAAAAGTGCAGGAGGTGAAATGAGTTGTCAGCAAAAGCTTAATCACCAATGATATGAACTCTAGTAAAGGTCTGGTTCATTAGTGGGGTGTTTACTAAGCCTGTGGCAAATGCTAAATTGCAATTTGCACTGCAATTTAACACTTGACCTTCCTGTGGTGTTATTACCTGATTCTCAAATACTGTAATGCTTCTAGTTAGACAACTTTTACAGTAGTCCCCATTCTACTGCCAGCTTCTGCTCAGAAATAAATGAATGAAGTAGGAAAGAGCAATGTTGTTTCATCATTTGACACTACACATGACATTAACCCAGAGGGTGGGAATACCTTTATTTTAGGAAAAAGATCAGTAATACTAGAAATCAATTTGTTATATTATTGGTATAATAATAATTCCAGGAGGTATAGTGTCACCATTCAGTCTTGTCCTCTGTTTTACTGAAGGACAGTATGGTTCATGCAAATTTGTCTTTCTTCTTTAAATTTGGAATAATACTAATATTTATCATTTTAAAGCTTTTTTGGGAGCCCCATATGAAAGCCTTGCACAAAAGTCAGGTGGTGTGGTTATTATTATTATTGTTGTATCTGGCTAGGATTTTAGGTCTGTAATGGGTTTGCCCTTGGCTGGGGGCCAAACCACACACCCGGTCACCCAATCCCTCTTCCCCCTCACTTCTCCCTCACCTGAAGACAGGGAAGAGAATTAAGGAGGTAAAGGGAAAAAAAAAGGAGTCATGGGTTGACATAAGAACAATTTAATGACTAAACTACAATAATATGGAAAATAATACAATATACAAATGAGGGATACACAGTGATACTGCCCCCCCCCCACCCAATGACCAAGGCTCAGCCTGTTCCTGGCTAACGATCCCAGAGCAGGGAGAGTCCCGAAACTGCACTCAGGGTACGGAGATAACAGTCCGAGCGTCCCAGACCGAGAGCTGACCGGGGTGGGGGGGGAGGCCTTGGGAGAGCGACCACCTGGACTGAGATAACCTGGAGCAAAAGAGATCCGGAACCAAAAGGGACGATCTTCCGGAGGGTCCTCACCTATATACTGGGCATGACGTGTATGTTGTGGAATAGAGTATTGGACACTTTGGGTCTCAATCCCAAACCTAAGAACAAATCCTGGGCAAGTACCTGGTTGCAGACAGCCAGACAAGCTGAAGGACCTTGGCAGCTGCATAAACATCACTTTTTACCAGCTTTCTTCTGAGCATAAATCCAAAATACAGCCTCTTTCTAGCTATTATGAAGAAAGTTAACTCTGTCTCAGCTTAACCCAGGACAAGGTCTCATTCAGATGCTATAATAATTTCTACATGTAATATCTCTGCAATTCAAAGACCAGAGATCAAAGACAGTTTCTTTACTCCTGATTTTGTGATCTTTTGACTGGATCCTGTCTATTTTTCCATTTTCTTTTGATGGTTTCAAGAGTTTAATGTTATAGAGATGCTTCACCATACGCTTCCCCATAATACAATCACTGGCAAGTAATGGTCATCTGCAAGCAATCACTAGGCTTTTTTTCAGTCCTCCCATTGAAAAAATGGATATCCATTTCAATATTTGCGCTGAAATGTAGGGAAGATAAATATCTTCCCAAACTAACACTGCTGTGGAAAGCTTTCAAAATATAAACAGAGGTCTCTCAGTCTTCAGTCTGTTTTCTGGTCAGAAAAGGCAAAGAAGAATATGTACAGCAACAGGAGAATCCTTAATGAGAAGATTAAAAACAGCTGTTCAAAGGAAGTCATGGTTTCTGCTTCTGCTGATAGACTGATTGAAGCCTGTGTTTCCTGTTGACCAGCTTCCTTTATGTGATCATCTAATTTGATTCAGTTGCAGCAATGACCTGCTTTGATCTGTTGACTTCCTCCTTTTAAAAGAACTTGGATTGTAAATGCCATCAGTTTGTGATCATAGTCCTAGGTGGCATAACATACAATTAAACAGTAAAACTCTGACAAGATCCATGCAGTAATGAAAAACTGATTTAGTATTACCACCCACTTTTAACATCCAAAGATTGTAGTCACATTCAGCAGCATTAACAGATTAAAGGATAGGTGCCAGATGACACTGAACTTTTGGGCAATTAAATTCTACGGGTCCTGATGATTCCCATAACAAAGGATGATTTTAATCATCCTGAAAGTTGCGGTGCATTAATCTGTATAACAGATTGATAAAGAGCATTTATTAATTTAGGAATATTTGGGTCAGGATGGGTTGTTTCCCACTTCTGCTGATGTAATTGAGACCACATTGTAGAATTAATGGTGGAAGAAATAAGATATGCATTGACTGGAAAATGAAAATTATTTCTGATAAAGAACTAAAACCCTTCATATATCTTTTACAATTGCCACCAATACATGTAGTAACTACTGAGTAGGGAAAAAAACAAAAGCCGGCAGTGACTATATTTCATGCTAACTCATCCAGTTTCTATTACTTGAAAGATTATTTTACTTCCAGTTTTAGAAAATATTGGCATATTGTTATCAGGCATACTACTCCTGACATTTTCACATATTTGTGAAAGCAGTGGCACAATAAATAGATTTGGAAAAAAAACCCCAAAAACGCAAAAACTAGCCACACTACTCTCTAAGCAAATAGTTCCTAATGGTCAAGTGAAGATACTTGCACATATCTTTTTTTAGTACAATGTCAGTTATCTGGCTAGTATCAGCAAGGGTTAGGCAATAGATTTTCCAAAGAAGTATTTTCCAAGTACTTTGCTTAGATTGTCAGAAAACGCTACTCTGGAGTGTTAACTCTAGTACATAACTGACCAGTACGAAAGACTCTCCAGCCTTATCGTAGTTACTTAATCTTCCTGGTTCCTTGAATCTCAGTTCTGAAAGAAACTAAGAGAGATGCAGAGACTTAAAAGAGCAGGCAATGGACCAGATATTGTGTATCTGAAAATAATAGCTATTAGAGATATAATCCCATCCTGAGGGACCTGGACAGGCTTGAGGGGTGGGCCCATGCCAACCTCATGAAGTTCAACAAAACTAAATGCAAGGTTCTGCACATGAGGCAAGCCCAAGCACAAATACAGGCTGGGTGGAGAATGGCTTCTTGAGTGCAGCCCTGAGGAGAAGGACTTGGGGGTGTTGGTAGATGAAAAACTGAACATGAGCCAGCAGCGTGCACTCGCAGCCTGGAAAGCCAACTGTATCCTGGACTGCACCAAGAGAAACGTGACCAGTAGGACAAGGGAGGTGGTTTTGCCCCTCTACTCTGTTTTTGTGAGGCCCCACCTGGAGTACTGCAGCCATGTCTGTGCCCCCCAAAGCAAGAAGGACATTGAGCTGTTGGAGCAGGTCCACAGGAGGGCCACGAAGATGATCAGAGGGCTGGACCACCTCCCATACAAGGACAGGTTGAGAGAGTTGGGGTTGTTCAGCCTGGAGAAGAGAAGGCTCTGGGGCGACCTTATAGAGGCCTTCCAGTACCTGAAGGGGGCCTACAGGAGACATGGGGAGGGACTTTTTACAAGGGTGTGCAGTGACAGGACATGGGGTAATGGTAGTGGATTTAAATTGGAAGAGGACAGATTTAGACTAGATATAAGGAAGAAATTCTTTACTGTGAGGGTGGTGAGACACTGGAACAGGTTGTCCAGATAAGTTGTGGATGCCCTGTCCCTGGAGGTGTTCAAGGCCAGGCTGGATGAGGCTTTGAGCAACCTGGTCTAGTGGAAGGTGTTCCTGCCCATCGCAGGGGTGTTGGAACTTGATGCTCTCTAAGGTCCTTTCCAACCCAAACCATTCTATGATTCTATGATTCTATGAATCCTTTTAACTCGAAATTTCATTTTATTTTGAATATCATAAGATCTAGTGAGTTTAAATAAATATCTCTTGCAAATAAATGAAATATAAACAAAATATTATGAATTGTGGTAATTATTACCTTGCAGGATTACTTTAGATTTGTAAGCAATGAAACCTAAATGAAGACTTGAATGCTAATCTTAATTCAGTAATTTTATTGAAATCCTAGTATAAAATACAACAGGAGATATATGTGCAAGTAGTGGTATTTGGCAACAACTACTTTTATATATGAAACATGAATGAGGCCAGAGGTTTACCTGACGTCTATTCAGTCATGTGTAATCAATGTTGCAGACAGAATTTTTATCTACACAAAAACATGCCTAAGTTTAGCTGGCCTTAGTTGATGAATAACCACTTTTGAAAAAATTGAACACATTTTGTTTTACTTGGGTTAATTAACTTTCAGCATTCAAAGCCAAAACTCAGTTTCTGATCACCCACTGTAATACAGTCCTTCAGCATTGCTATCTGTTAAGTATATGCATTTTATGTTACTAATTCAAATGCAAGAAATAATTACGATCAAACATTTTTCTTCCCCTTTCAATCTCAATCTACTAGACTGCAGTACTCTTGCAATATTTTGACATTTTGAGTTATTTAAAATCTAAATTACACAGAATCACAGAACTGTAAATATGGTGTAATCTGGAAACATACAATAAAGAATATATTTGAGGTAGCCACACAAATAACTTTAAATTCCAGTGGAAAGTGTACCCATATATGAAAATACCAGTTATCTTCATGGATGTCTCAAGCCATGTACCTCTCCTTGTACTGCAGTATTTACAGCTGCTGACTTCCAGTTAGTATAGATATCAGATTGTTATTACCTGAATATCTAGCTTTCTGTTTCAGCAGACTTCAAAATAGTCAGTGCTCAGCCCTCTGCATACCTGTAATTATCTGTATAAAAATGACTTCATATAGATACAAACTTTTCACAGAGTGCTTCCCTCAGCAGATCTTAAAAGGGCTGAAGCAACTTGCAATAAACTTTGATTAGTCTCTGCCTCATGTTCTGCCCTCAGGAACTCTACCTGGGGCATAGGAAGCTACCAACAGATGTGAGAGTCACCTTCAATGAAGCAACTAAATAGAAATCTTCTTAATAAATACAGTTCTCTACAGCCCTCATTTTTATACCATGCAAATTTACTCTAGCTGCTCATTAAACTGTTTGGGAAGAATGAAAAAAAAATATGGACTGCCGATTGTAATAGGGTCCTTGAATCATGTTTTCAAGTCTCAAATTATGGTCAGTTATTTTTTTGCTCAGGGGATCCATTGCCATGTGCCAGCTTTTGTGTTGCAGCATGGAAACTGGTAGAGTTAAACGAATGTAAAATCTCTGCAACAAAGAAGAGACTCAGACTTAGAGCTGGAAAGCAGTTGACTGTGTAGTTCTGACACTGAAGAAGAGGCTGAAGCAAGAGAGAGCTTCCCTGACTAAGCATGTTCTTTAAAATTAAAATATATATTGAAGATTAGATTTTAATCTAATTTTTATTGACCTCTATCTAGCTCTAAAGATTTATCTGCTCCTTCTAACAAAGAAGTTTGTGCTAATCTATTGTATTACTACTGCTTGTGTTCTGAAAAGCCTAAAACAACTGTGTGACCGTGGAAAAATTTATGATTGCAGTCTGAGACTATAGGACATTGAATAAGTTTCATAAGTGAAAAACAAGGGGAACCATAGAGGCTTTAGAAGTTATCACTTATCACCAAGGAAAAGTTCAGGCTCCTTTTAATCAGATCAAATCACTATTTGTTGAATGCCAGTATAACTATAGTGATAAAAGATATTAAATAAACATTTGTCTGATTTAATAGGTGATTTATCAATGTATTATACCAGCTGAGTTTAAGTTCCTTCATTAGTTAGTGTATGTTTTACAAGTTTGATTCTAGCAACTAATCTTGTCATAAATGTGCTGATGTAAATTTTAGCTTTCTTAGTCAGAATAAGTATTTTAAGAAACAAAGAGAAGTTACATTTTGAAAGTCAGATTAGGCAGTTAAAGTCTGAAGTATATGCTGTGTATGATAGGGTGGTAGATAGTAGTCTAGAAGGAGAAAAGTTGTCTTAGTATTCATAGGTCATGTTGTTTCCTATCACGAATCTACTGTGTAGTGTTGTACAAACCATGAAGAACACAAGTTTTGGTGGTTTGGAACAAATAAAATGACAGTCAATTTCAGGTTGGGATTGAACACATGTTTATAAATAATTCCTATAAACTCTTCTGCATTCATTTATTGTTCGTAAAGTACACTGGAAAGCACTCTTTTCCCTGAGTTGTTCAAGAATTTAATATTGCCAGCGTGCTTGTTACTTCTTATGTTAGAGAGGAAAAACAAAAAGAAAGAAAAAAAATTATATTCATAGCTACTTAGTACTGAGTTGTTTCTGTTTCAGGGTTACCAGAAAATGTTAAAAATACTCAATATAAATTTATTTTCAAAAATTGAGATTTTTTACCATTTTTTAAAAATCTTTTATTCCTGGTTTTCAAATAATTTTATCATATGTCTTACTAAGTTTCATTGGATCAAACAAGAGATAAGTAAATACCTTGCACATTCATAGGGAGGGAGAAAATATTATTAAGCATTAGGGAAGCGATTGTCCCTTTGAACTTGGCACTGGTGAGGCCACACCTCAAATAGTGTGTTCAGATTATGGCCCCTCCCTACAAGAAAGACATTGAGGTGCTGGAGCATGTTCAAAGAAGGGCAATGAAGCTGATGAAGGGTCTAGAGCACAAGTCCATGGGGAGTGGCTGAGGGAACTGCGGCTGTTTAGCCTGGAGGAAAGGCGGCTGAGGAGAGACTTTATTGCTGTCAACAACTACATGAAAGGAGGGTAAAATGTCGGTCTCTTTTTCCAAATAACAAGTGATAGGACCAGAGGAAATGGCCTCAAGTTGCGCCAAGGGAGGTTTTGATTGTGTATTAGGAAAAAATTATTCACTGAAAGGGTTATCAAGCACTGGAACATGCTGCCAGGGAAGTTTTGGAGTCACCATCCCTGGAGGTGTTTAAAAGATTCGTAGATGTGACACTTAGGGACATGGTTTGTTGGTGGACTTGGCAGTGTTGACAGTTGAACTCAATGATCTTAAAGGTATTTTCCAGCATAAATGATTTTATGATTGTGTTCTGTGACTGACCTCATATATATGTACACACACACATATATGTATATGACGTGTAATGTGATGTGTGTATATATATATTTATATATACATATGTCCTTGGAGAAAGTATATTCCTTTATTACCTCCCTAAGCCCTGCCCCTGCCTTCTGCCCAGAGACAACAATATCAGAAACTAAAAATTGATCTAATTGGCTTATGTTTGTAGTCTGGGGAGTGCAATTGCTACCTAGTATCATATCTTAATAAGGATGACAAGAAATTGGAAGATTTTGCAAAAACTGATTTAGTGATACTGATATGCCCCATAAAATGTGGATAATGGTATTTTTGTAGTTTCTGGTCATGTATTAAATTTTCTCATTACATTGTCAGTAAGTTACATTGAAATTGGTTGCAGTTATCTTTCTGTTCTTGCTTTCTCTCTCTCTTTTTCCCCTCCCTTCATTCTAAAGCTGCTTAAGGAGATAGCCAGGAAACGCAGAAGCATTCGTCTTGGAAGGGAAGTTGAATTAAAGCCATATATTGCAGCTCACTTTGAAGTTCTTCCTCCAGAGTTCACGTTGGGGGATAAGAAGCATTATGGTGGCTTTGAGAATAAGCAGCTGCAGAGTGGTCAAGAATATGTCTTCTTTGTCCTGGCTGTAATGGAGCACTCAGAATCTGTAAGTTAGTTAATATTTTTCAATCCCAAATTTACCTTTTCACAGTCATGAAGACATTTTTTCAATGTTTATTCCACTTCCCAAAAGCTTTTTTTTTTTTCTTTAAATATATGCCAGAACATCTCTAAAACAAGTGTTTCCTTGCTTGGTTTCAGTTATTTCCTTGAACTTTTCTATTTTGCTTGCATTTTTATGTGTTACTTCTGTGTATCACTGAAGCCTAAGGATCACATTTTATTAGGTGTATTGTGATCCTTCACAAATTGCATGCTCTGCTATTTGACATAATTGACTCAGGTTCTGAGGCATGAACTTCACAGCAGCATCTTTCTCGATGTATTTAAAAAAGGATTGCTGTCTTTCCTACCATTGAATAGTGGTGTTGGATACACAAGATTCTTGGAAAGATCTGTTGAAATCAGAAACATGCACAGCTGCCCTCCTTAGTTATAGTCATTCCCTAACAACTTTGTCAGTGAATTGTTAGAAAGTTAGAAAATAATTCAATGATAAAGAAGATTCCTGAGGTGAGCTGAATAACGAACTGTCATTCCTCTTTATGTAATTCGTCTTGTAGTTATGTCCCTTGACTTAATCTCTGCATGTAATATAGTTTTTAAAAAGACAGAAATAGGACTGTAGAAAGAAGTTGCAATACATATTAACATTTTAACATACAGTGTGCAATACGGTATGTTTCTAATTGGTACCTAAACCACATAGGTACATTTGCTGACTCAGCCACTTAAAACTACTACATCAGTAATCTGAATTCTACTCAATGCTTCCAGTGTGTAACCTTACAATTGCTTTCTTGAGGTAAACAGAATTTGCCAACTTAAACACAATGAGGCAGTAGTTTCAGTTTGAGTTCTTTTGGATATGTAGCTTCATCTGAAAATTTAAAAAGTGCCTCCTGCAAGCTCTAATATAAATCAAAAGTTCTCCTTTCACTTTTTGGCAGTGGCTGCATAGAGAGAGAATTCTAAAGGCGTTACTTAAGAAAGGCTCAAACTGGAAAAAGTAGACAGCTTTTGGCTATAAATGGCCAAAAATCTGTGTGTCAGAGATTGTCTGTCTAAAATTGATCTTTTCAATCAAAGTACCATTTCATATTTATTTTTCTGTATTATTTAAGGCATTGGTCATTTCATATAATTCTAAGGTTATTACTTTGTCAGAGAGAAATCAGGATGAAAAAGCAGGAATAAATAGGGTTGTAAATTTAGAGAAGGAAAGGCTGATATGGCAAAATATATCCAGGGGTCTACTGCTGAAGATTTCAGAAGCCGTTACTAAACTTATAATGTGGACAATATCTGGTTTACCATGACATCTGAAGCATCTATGTGATTAAGTAGCATAAGGAGTGAAGACTTTACTGGGGTGAGTGAGCTTCAACTACCAATGCACCAGTGTATCTCTCTCAATATAGCTGTTTTCTTCTAAGACTATAGATCCTACTGGTGTATGAGTTGTAACTTGCAAGCAATGTTTTTTCCTGATATTCAAAATACTTTTTACATAAAGGTTCTCCTTCACAGAATAAAAAATTTCTCTGTTGATTGGGTGAATGGAGAACTTGCTTTACAAGAGGGCATGGGAAGGTCTGAATTGTTTAACTTAGTAAAATAGGAGCTGAGGGAGCTTATGATTACAGTCTATAAATATTTAAGCATATTATCAAGAGGAAAAAAATAGATAAATTCGTAAAAATAATAAATGAGTTTAAATTAGTCATTAATACAGGTAGGTCGAAAATTAAAAGCAAAATCCTATTTATTGGAGAACAGATAGTAAGTGCTTCTACTGTTATCCCTCAGTATCCCTCTCTATCCCTTTCCAGGCATTTTTTTTCTGCCTGCTCTAAAGGAAGATGCGAAACACAAAGAGTTTCTTACTGTAGCAATGGACTTTTTTTTCTATCTTTTGAGAATACTGAAGCTGGGGAAAAAAAAAAAAAAACAGTCAGCTCGGGTTTTTCAGGAAGGGAACATGGAGACTCCCTAGTTTCTAAACAGCAGTCAGACTTTTAAAACATTTAGTACCAAGTTTAGTAAAAGAGCGTATCATAGCTGGACATTGTTGGCGTGGGTACTAGGTCAGTACCAGCTAGTCTAAGTGCCTCAGCTTTGCCTGTCCTAATCCTATCTCTAACCTTAAACCCAGACACTGTCGTAGCCCAGAGCCCGAAACAAGGCCAAATAAAGTGTAAACAAAAAGTCTCCTTTGATAACTCTTTTCCTGGCTTAGACCATCTTTCAGAATACAGTGCAAACATAGTAAATGAAACCTAATCTCTTGTCCTGGTTGTTTTATTCTATTCTAGCTGGCATATGAATCAACTCTTTAAGTCCTTTGCAAGACCTATAGTTCAAATCCAAGTTTAGTGCTGGTGGAGACACTCCAGCAAAGACAAGAAAAAAGTACAAACCATTTGCCACTTCTGACTTTGCTGTAGCTCAGAGTTCTTTACATCATCCACTTTTAGGAGCCTGGCTCCTCACCCTCTCCGGTCTGTAATTTTAACTTGGCACTCAGACATAGATCAGACATCTCAGGTCAGACCGGAACAGAGAAGAGTTATTATTTGTCACAGGTCTTATTCTAGGCCAGCTAGCTTTCCAATATTCCGTAAGGCAAAGATTTTCAATGGCCTCTGTTCATAATTCTAGTTCCATCTCTAAGAACAACTTTCAGTATTTAGCTTCCCTTCATATTCTGCGGTGGCTTAGCCTGTTTTCCAGTCTAAAATTCAAGTTATCTCCATATTCTGTAAGAACACTCTATTTGTCAGGCAATTTTTGACTTATGAAAATGCACCCTACTATTGCCATAGGACCCTTTTCTAGGAACCTCCTACATTCAGTGCTCTTTATTTTTACCTGCAATGCTCTCATTCTTTCAGAAGTATCCTTTCATATGTTGCAGGAAGAAGTGATTGTAAGCCAGTATAAAACTAAAACAAAAACCAGAAAAGAGTAACCGATGTGTTATATTCCTCAGTTTCCTAATTTATTTTCTCATTCTCTGCTTAAGTTGCAGACTCTTACCTTATTGTATTAAGACATTTGTAGCTGGGTTACCTCATTTGTCTGCAGATCACTGATAGTCTGTAGAGCACTAAATAAAGATAGTAATAACAACACACCATTCAGTTTGCAAGTTTATGTACTGCCTGGTTTGAAGAAAAATAGCGTTTTCACATCACTATGTTCGTTGCATCATTATCTTGTATAGAATTATTTTAGATCTAGAAGAGTTAATGTTTTAAATCCTTTATCATTAAGTAAGATTTATTTTATTTATATAGACCATGTATGCAACCAGCCCATATTCTGATCCTGTTGTGTCGATGGATCTTGATCCCCAACCAATTACAGATGAGGAAGAAGGCTTGATTTGGGTTGTTGGCCCAGTTCTTGCAGTGGTATTTATCATCTGTATTGTTATTGCTATACTTCTTTATAAAAGGTAGGTTTACCTTTTAGTTTTTTTACCAGGTGCATAACTTTCTGTTATATTAGCCATTGTATAGTAGTCTCCGGACTGTATTTTTTGTACTACAGTAGTAACTGTGATTGCTTTGGGATATCTCCGTATTTATTAATGGTTTCCAGAACACTGTAGAAATTTCAGTAGATTGACTGAAAGTTTCCAATAATTACAGGTATGTGGGTACATTTTTCTGCTGCTGACACCCTGTTAACATTTTGGCATTTAAACTTTTTCTCCACTTTGCATACATTTGTGAAGAAAATATGTGTTTGCATATAAATATGAATGGAATTCGCACATTTGACTTTTTAAAACTTATTTTAGATGTATAATAGTAATGCATTAGCAGCTACATTCAGCTTGATGTTAAACATGATTTTCATCTCCACTCAAATAATTTGAGTTTTTACTTTTGACAGTTGGCCTCAGTTTGGCAGTGTATCAATATGAATTTGAAGCTCTGAACTGAGAGATTAAAGAAACATCAGTAGCTGTTTTCCACTAATCTTGCAATGAGATCAAAATTCAGTTATTTGTCTTTTACTCTCTGTGACACAGATGAAGGTTTGCTATTACACAGAGGACTTCACATGCCTTACAACATACTAGATGAAAACTGTGTATGATGCCTTTATACATAGCAGCCTTTTACAGTATAAATGAGTTCACAAGGGTCAAGATACTAAATCAAAACCAAAGAATCAAACCCACAAAGGTTATTTTAATCTTTAGATTTTGTTCCTAGTTCATTTTTGAAATATATTGATGATGTATAATTGGGGATTACTATAAAGATGCTGTGACCTCATTGGAAGCAGGTGCACTAGGGATAATTTAATTAAATGGAGTATATCTTCTAAAACTAATGGTTGTGATGCTATCACCTGCATATAAATATTTAAATTATGCTACCCTGTATGCTCTTCCCACCCTAAGTGTTTCCAGTCAAATACCTCTGAAGTTATATCTGGAGACCTGGCTTCACGTTGTGGAAGGAGACTTCTTTGTTCAGCAGTAAAGAAACAGTCCAGGGCTAATCTTACCTTTGGATTCCAGATAGATATACATTTATGGAATAGTTTTTAAGGCTGTAATGATACAGCAGCATAATACATGGTCTATTGCTTTCAGATATTATGTCTCCTGAAGGTTTCTATTAGTGCCTACTGTCTCAGCCAATCTAATTGGTAAACAACCAGTGACCCTCTGTTTGTGTCTGTCTGTCGTTTCAAGAACTGGTCATTAGAGATGTGCTCAAAGTGAAGTACTCCTTTCTTCTGATGATTTTGGAGTATTAAAAGTAAAACTTCTCCCATACTACAAAACAAATCCAAACAATGTCATATAAACCAGATGTGTAACTGCTTCTGGAAATATTGATTACATTTATGGAACTATAATAACAACCTTCAATTCTATTACCAAGAAAATTATTGACATTTTCCACAAATGAGCAGGTAACATTTCTTCATCAGTAGTGTGAAGAGACTGTCATTCACTGAAAATGGGGGACACATTTTCCATCTGCTATTTACTATTGGTACTAGAACTGTTCAGTCAAATGTCCATATGTATTTATTTATTTTTCTCTTTTCAGCTATAAGATGTAAGTTATTAAATGGCACAGATTTGGCAAATTACCTCTGAGAAATTATGACTGCTGTTTTTACCAGTCTGTGGTCCTCTGTGAGCTTTCCATTTCTATAAAAAAGTAATGTATAATTGGAATTTTTTTTTTCTTGAGTATGCAACCTGGATGCAAGCTAATAAGTAGAGTTTGATAGCTTTACTGTCTGTAGAAAAGCAATAACTAGACAAGACAGTAGGGATCTTTAGCATCGTGCATTGAGAAAACAGTCAAATTTAATATCTGAGTAAACTCTGTTAAAGGGTGTTACTGTGGCTACAGAGGTTGGACATGGTAAATATATGCAATAAAAAGTAGGAAAACATTTTCATGGATAGAGGGAATTTTACAAATATAGAATATATTGGGGCATCGGTGCAACAGGTATGAGAGGGAGATAAGAAAACAAAGGATAGAGGACACATCTGCCTAATACTTGAAAACACATGCAAAAAATATTGAAAAGGAGAACATAATGTTGAAGAATGTGCAGTGGGAAAAAGATGACTGGGTAATGACTGTGTCTTTTGAAGTGTGAAGGGTAGTAACTCAAATAATGGTAGACTATTCTTAATTCCTTTTGTCCATAGAAGCCTTTTTGAACAGACTTGGATGGCTAATCTCATGATTTACAGTACTACTTTTACATTTTTATTTCAGTCATAGAGAAAGGATGGCTGCAGTTTCTAAAAGAATCATTCTAAGGGGAAAAGTCTTGCTGTCCTTTAAACAGATTCTGTCACAGATAGTGTGGATAAATTGCATGGGTTGGCATGAAACATATTTAACTGTCCGGAAGACTAGGAGTACATATTTGACCCCTTTATTTTTTGTTGGTCAGTTTGTATAAAGGTTACTGTGTCTGCATTTATTTCTCTTAAATTCTGAAAGCAAAGATACTGTATAGAAAGATCTTTGGACTGTATACTAGAATATGGCCAAAAGGTCATTGCCACTTAGTACTTAACAGTAGCAGATTGGGAAAATATGGCAGAGCACCTTTTGCAGTCATTGGATATAGCCGCAATATAATATCCAGCGCAATTGAGGCCAACGCACTGTGTGCAGGAGAGCTCACAGATTCACAGAACCAAAGGGTCACGCCTCTGGAGGTTGGCCCATCGCAGCCCTGCCCAGAGCATGGCCAGCTACAGCAGGTTGCTCAGAGGCATGTACAGGCAAGCTTCATTATATCCAAGAATAGAAATTCCCCAACCTCTCTGGGTAACCTGTTCCAGTGTTCAACTGTCCTCACAGTAAAAACTATTTTTTTCCTGAGTTACAGCTGAATTTCCTATCTCTCTGAAGCTGGTGTCTTGGCAAATAGAACTGACTTGGCTAGTGACATGTTCAGTGTTCTCTGTAACTGCAGCAGTGAAGCCACCCTGCAGTCATAGTGAAGGGAGATAATTATTTTGGAGCAGATCTTTAACCTATTGGACTTAAACCTAGACAACCAAATTTAGGGATCCAAGTAAATTAGCTAAATATCACTTTCGTTTTGTTAATTTTCTTGCCCTCAAGAAAATAAAATCTTTGCTTGTTCAAACATGGAGTAAAATATACAGCACAGTAAGATTTATGTCCAAAATCCCAAACAAAGGCAAATGCTTACCTAGATATAGAGACGGTACAGTCTAAGTCTCCCCTAGAGTCAATGCCTAATGATTATGAGGGCTGTTTGAGTCACGGTTTATACTTCAGGGTGGTTTTGAAAAAGCACTACCCAGCTGCAACCTGGCAAACCAACAGTAAATCCTTTCAACTTACTTTTGAGTGTGTGATACATGTTCAACTACGCAGGATTTAAATGTTTAGGAACCCAGTTAGTGAATGTTAAAGCGCTGTAGAAATTGTTCGGTGTATCTCAGAAACTGACAATCTAGAGAAAGAGTGCATGTCCCCATGAAGCATCCTTTCATCCCCTTTTTTTTTGTTTGTTTTTTGTTTTTTTGGTTTTTGTTTTAGGGTTGGTTTTTTTCTCTTTTTTGCTTTTTTTTAAGCACATTGGTTTATCTGGTTATTCCTCCTGGTTTTCAGAAATCACAAGTTCTCTAATTTCAGCCTTTTGCTGATGAAGAGTAAAATGTTCCTCATTCTAGAACTTTCTGTAGTCAGGTTTGTTTGTGGAGTGTGTTTCCAGATAAAGTGCAGCTTCTTGATTTGGTTCAGAAGGCAGGAGCCTAAGCTTGAATTATTTGAACGTGGTGAACTTCAGCACTCTGAATCATAGAGTCTTAGAATAGTTTGAGTTGGAAGGGACCTTTAAAGGTCATCCATTGCAACCCTGTTCTGCAGTGAGCAGGGGCATCTTTAACTAGATCAAGTTGCTCAAAGCCCTGACCAACCTGGCCTTGAATGTTCCCAGGGATGTGGCACCTACCACCTCTCTGTTCCAGTGTTTCACCACCCTCATCATAAAAGATCTCTTCCTTATATCTAGTCTAAATCTACCCTCTTTTAGTTTTAAAGCATTACACTTTGTCCTGTCACTACAGGCCTTAATAAAAGTCCCTCCCCGTCTTTCTCATTTACATACTGAACGGCTGCAATAAGGTCTCCCCAGAGCCTTCTCTTCTCCAGGCTATAAACAACCCCAAGTCTCTCAGCCTGTCGTCATATGGGAGGTGCTCCAGCCCTCTGATCATCTTCATGGTCCTCCTCTGGATCTGCTCCAACAGGTCCATGCCTTTCCTGTGCTGAGGACTCCAGAGCTGGATGCAGTACTCCAGGTGGAGTCTCACCAGCATGAAGTTAAGGGGGCAGAATCATGTCCCTGGACCCTGCCACCTCCCAGCAGACCACATGCTGAATCTTGAGCTATGAGAAGAAACATGCTTCTAAGAGAAAAAACAGATGATAAAAAAAGCACAGAAATTAAAATGGGGGAATATAAGTGATGAAGTAGGGTTCTATAAGGAATTTTTCATAACGTGAGTAATATGGTCATTGCGGACTCCAGGGTATTAAAAGTTTGTAGAACTCTATTTATTATGATGAACAGACAGACAGAAAGATAGACAAACACTGCAATTACAGTGGATGTACAGTAGAACCTGATGTTGGCAGGTGATTATTTTTTCCCTGTTCAGCTGTTCTTTATAGAGCATAGAGCACTACAGATCTGTATAGGTCACTGTAGATCTTAAATATGTGACATTCCTTCAAAACCTAAACACATGTGTAATACTTCCTTGGAGAAAGATTTATGCTTATCTTACTCTGCAGGGTACTGTTAAAAAATTTCTTACCATTTTATTACTGGCTTTGTAAAACAGTTTTTAAAGGTTTGTTTTGTTTTGTTTTTAATTTAGTACAAGTCTTATGTATCTTGTGTATTTAACCTTGTTCTTCACTTGCCTTTCTCTCCTTCTTCCTCTCCCTTCTCTCCTTCCCTTTCTCCTCTGCCCTCTACCTTCATATTTCCTCTCCTCCCTCCTCTTGTGTTTCTTCTCTCTAGAATGCAAGAGGGAACTATATCTTAGTGAGATGTTATTTATCAATGTAATGTTAACATTATGTTGATAGCTCAAATTAAACACCCGTTTTCCATTACCTTACTGGCTGAAATATGAGGTGGCACTACTTTGCAGATAAAGTCTAAAAGAGATGGGTTTTTTCATCATAAGAAGATTCTCTTTGGAGTTTACCTTGTGTCCTCCATTAATTCTATTATTCCCAAACATTGAATATTCTGATGAACCATCACTTCTTAATTTGGTTTAGTTATATTTTATTGTAGGTCAACATTTCTTGCATCTCCTTTGTCATGCTTATCCTGGTTGCTGCTGCTCAACTAACATTACAACTTTTCTCCCCTCTTTGCTGCATTAAAATGGAGCAGTAAACCTGACAGGTGAGAAGTGAAAAGTAATCACTCTTTGTTTAATCCAGAAAAGGAGGAAAAAAGAGAAAAAAGTTATCGTGATAATGATCTAAGACAAAGCATCTGTCAATCTAAGTGAATGTAGACAGTAATCTATCAATATGAAGGCGACTGGAAGATTTGTTATGTTGTTTACAGCAATGAAAAGTTATATAACATATACAGCCAAGTTTCACTGTTTTGTTTTTTTTTCTCTATGAGGTACATTTTCAAAACACAGCACAGCTATACAATATGCAAGTGGTTTTATTTGTGTTTTAATAAAGTTAAAACAGTGGTTCTTTGCTATAACCAACATTGTTGAAGGAATGCATGGTTACGGTTGAAGTGTTAGTCATTCTAAATCTCCAGACTCAGAACTGACTTCTGAGTTCCACTAGTGAAAATTACATGGTGATCTCATCTGTCCTTTATGTTTTTTTTTCCACCTGTCTCAAAATCATTACATAATCTGAAAGAATTGTGATGTTTTGTATAGTGTGCAAAGATGCAAAAAGCCAGAATGATCCTGAAAATAATAATAAATAGTAAACCATTCTATTTTCTTGTAAGTACTCAAAATATTCAGATATATAATTAGAAGATATTTCAGTATTTTTAGTAGATTAATATAAAGTAATGCTGCCCAGAACTGACTTGCAAGTGGAAAAAGGGTGAATGCAGCTTTTCTGGGCAGTTCCACTGGTCCCTAGACTTCAGGAGAAGGACATACAGATAAAAATACTTCTGGAAAGCTGCATCACACACCTTTACTTAAGCAGAAAGAACACTAGGGAATTGTGCTACTGTGGTGGAAGTTTGAGATAGTCAGAATCAAAAGTAAAAACAGAATTTTAACTTGAGTTTCTCCATAGTATTTTTTTAAAAAAGAGTAAAAACAGAAGAATCAGATCAAAATCTTCATGGCTTCACTAAGAGAAGTTAATACATGTGTTAAGGCACTTCCCAGACAACAGATGGAATGTTTTTTACAGCAAAGCACTTCCCTGCTTCCCCTAACCATAAAATTGCAGCACTAGTAACTTTCAAATAATTCCTGCAACGATGTTACTGTTTGACTTCGTGCACAGTCTTTGAAATCTTTCTGTATGCACCTTTTATGAATGCCACCAGGTGTTCATCATTTCAAGAACAGCAAGAAATCAGTTGGTTCATTTTTAAGAGGGCAGCCCAGCAGAAAAATAACTGATTTAGCATTGTCACATTGTGAGTCAATTAGGAAAAAAAAACCCAACAATAGTGCTTAGAGCAAATATCGGACACCTGGAGAAGATTTTGCTATCATAAACCTTAAAATCGTCTCATTTCTGTTTTTGCAAAGTAACTCCTTGCCTCTGTTTGCATCTTCCTTTTATATTACATGAAGTTATCAACCAGTTTGCATTTTCATGAAGGAACTCTCAGAGGCCTAGTGAAGAAGGATTCCACTTCAAATTAAAGCATTAAATGTCCACAGTCCTCAATGGAAATGCAGAGAAGTAGATGTTCTTTATGTAACATTGTTCTCCATGTTTTGGGTCAGAAAATGGTACTCTTAAATGATGGCAGTCCATTTTACCAGAACAGTCAGAGTCAGAACACAGGTGGAAGGAATCTCCTTCTCTCTAGAGAAGTGGAAGCATACACAAGGTGTATTTTTCTCCCTCCCTCCCTCTCTCCCTCCCTCCCTCCTTTTTTTCTTCCTTCCTTCCTTCCTTCCTTCCTTCCTTCCTTCCTTCCTCTTTTTTCTTTCTCCTTTTTTTCTTTTTTCTTTCTCTTTCTTTCTCTTTTTTCTTTCTTTCTTTCTCTTCTTTCTCTTCTTTCTCTTCTTTCTCTTCTTTCTCTTCCTGTCTTTCTCTCTTTCTTTTTCTCTGTTTCTCTCTCTGTGTCTTTCTTTCTCTTCTCTTCCTCTCTTTTTTCTCTCTTTTTCTCTCTTGGTTTTTTTTTTCTTTTAATGTTTCTTTCTTTCTCTGTTTCTCAGTTTCTCTCTTTCTCAGTTTCTTTGTTTCTCTGTCTTTCTGTCTTTTTCTTTCTTTTTGTCTGTCTCTTTTTCGTTGTTTTTGTCTCTCTGTCTTTCTATCTTTCTTCCCATCTGTTTTTTTCACAGCTTATTTTGGACTGAATGGCAGGAGTACTACAATTGCAGTGAAAGTCTTAATTTGATCAGAAACATTCATACAGAATCTGAGTCTTGAATTGTAGGTGTGATTAGATACATGAAGATTGTGTAGTGCAGCTCTTACTGAGATTAGAGGCAACAGAGCAGATTCTTACTTTCTAGAAAGTGAAAGGGATAGATGTCTTCTGTGACAGGTGTCTTCTGTACTGTTCTGTCATATTCAAAGTACCCAAAGAATGCAGATTATTTTATATGTGCAGTGCAGAGCTGTACATATAAAATACTAAGTATTCAGTTATAATAACTTGTCATGTTCATTTTTAATTACATGCTCAAAAGTACTTTTAAATGAAGGTATAGCTAGCTAGCTTTTAACATAGAGACAATGTGAATTTTTGTAAGTTTTGCATTGTATCTTATAGTTAACTATTCAGGTACCCAGAATGATGATCTAGAGGATCAGTTGAGGGCAGAATGCAGTTACTTTCCCTCTGACATTACTATATTTAGGTTCATTTTGCCATTGCAGATTGTAGCTGCCTTACCCACCGTTCATAATTATTTTACCCTTAAACTGTATCAAATACTCTTTCAGAAGTAAGCATGTCACCTTTAGAATATAACAATTATACACTCAGGTGCCTTTATTTGTCAAGCTAACACCTCAATCTCATGTTTATATTCTTCCTGCAGGAAGAGAGCTGAATCTGATTCTAGAAAGAGCAGCATACCCAACAGCAAGGAGGTCCCCTCTCACCATCCCACAGACCCAGTGGAGCTGCGACGCCTTAATTTTCAAACTCCGGGTAAGAGACAAAAATACCTCACTGAGAGCTCTGTGATCACAATCTGATTAGTGATGCTGTTACAGAACAGAAAGTTTGATTGTTTAGAAAAATGTTGGTTGCTTATGAATTTTCTGCACAATGTATTTATTTGTTAGTTTTGTAAATAATTCTGTAATTTATTTATTTAAAGAAAAATCCTGCATGAAACAAAATTAAAGTTTGGTAAAGACCTCAAGGTCACAAATGCTATATGGATATGTTTCCTGTGCTGAAATGCCGAGTTAAACTTACCAGTGCTAGAAAAGATTACTGGGACATGTACATCCGTCTATTTATTAACTATATTCTTACAGCTGCTTCTTTGTAAATAAGCTTCCCTCTTATCTAATGCATTATCAGGTAATCCATTAAAATAATTGGAAGTTTCACTACATTGCAAATGTAAAATACAGAAAATAACTAGAGAAATGGTCTTGCCATCAGGTTGTATGTTAGGATCAAGGAAGATATTAACATGTCAGCAGTTCTGAAGCAATGCACTCCCAAATATTTTGTTTACCTATTTTATTTATTAAACATTGTTTTCTTAAAGCTGTTTGGTTTTATAGTCAAGAAACACTGAACAGAAAAATACTTATAATACTTACAATAGTATTGATTTTTTTAGTACCTTTTTATGAGTTCATTTTTTTAAAAAAGGCTTACTTTGATCATGTTGTATGCTAGTAGACTTGTTTTTTATTAAAGCATGACTGCACATAGTCCCAGCTATTACTTACTGGATCTTCCTGAGCCTTGTGTTTGTAGAATTTTTATATTAAGTACAAAAAATAATTAATTCAATTTCGTAAAGGTGGGAATTAATCACTTGAGATGTTGAGAGATTAGCTGGAGAAGTTGACACACTAAGTATTACAAAAGGGTTAACTGAACTTGTAAATCTCATTTCTGATCTCCTAAACAGTGGCTGTATTAAAATAGTGTTGCCCTAACAGAAGTGGATCCACAGAGCAATGGATCTGGGGCTAAAGACCTGACATCCGCAGTGCATTTATATGGCAAAAGTAGAAAGGGAAGAGTCTGGAGGCTTGAGTTTTACCCCAGCCCTGCTTTTTTTAGTCTGTTCCAGTACACTGAATGCTGTTTAGCAGCTGGAGCAAATCAGAAGTATTTCAGGAGTGCATCTTCTAGTTTAGTTTCTTCTGAATATAATAATCTTGTTGACATGCTCTGGGACCTCTCTATAATATGAGTCTAAGTGCAGTAAATGTAAAGGATTGAAAGTTTTGATTCACAATTGTGCTTCTGAGACTGCGATATTAATGTAAGCTCATCCTTACTGAGCAAAGGCTTTGTACGTTTTCCAGCACTTTCATGCAAAGTTCTGAAGGTTGTTGCAGAGATAGAAGTATACATACAAGGCTTTGAAACATGAAGAGAAAAAATGTGGTTCTTACAGTTTAGTTTAGGGCTAAAATAAGTTACCCTCTGTATACATACTGAATAGAGTGGGTGGCTTAATAACTAGGTATACAAGCATATTTTTTTATGGTCCTTGTATTTAGATGCGGAGTCTTACCTATCAATTTAGTATTCATCATAAGTTAAAATAAAATGTGCACAGAAGAAAAATGCTGCCAACTGTCAACAGCTTTACATATAAAATTAATTTATTGTGATTGGTTCTGAATTTATATTAAGAATGTGAATTTGTTAAGAAATGGCAGAATTTGTGGCACTTGTAAACACTGTAATTCCACCTCATAGATCTGAAAAGAACTGGAGAGGAGTGGAAGTGTACCATTTCTTGCAATGCTATAGTTTATCTGGGAAAATTGCAGTTTTTTGTGAAGCTAGTTGAGCAGAACATCTGCAATACATTTCTACAATGTAAACTTTTTTCACAAAATGGAGGATTAAAATTGTTATTAAAAATGTAGTACAGAAATCAAATTAACATCTCTTCCCACTATTGTACCACGTAAGACCCCTAGACACAGGTCAAGCCATTATATTACTCAGCATGCAATCAAATATCAAGGAGAAAATTCCTACCCCAGATTTGTTGTGTAACATTTGCTAATTAACATGTCCTTAATATGTAATCTTAGCCCCAGTGAAGTCAAGGTACAGTTCATGTGCTAGTAAACGCAGAACCTCTCATAATTCACAAAAACTTCAAGTAGGGCTGACATTTCATTAAAATCTGGATGAATTTAACCTAGATATTAGATCCTGCTGGAATGTTTATCCAACTCCCCACAGTAACACACTATTAAATAACAGGCGAGACAAAGCTTTTCAAGACAAATGTTGAGAAACTATAGAAAGCCTGTACATTCAGGATATCAGTTTTGTTGGTTTTCTTGTTATTTCACTCTCAGATGGGTGTTTTTTATTTGCTGTCAGGTGGCAGAAATAGGCAGTAGGGTACTACTGCGGCAAAGCAGGCAGCTGAGAGACAACATTGGGGATGATGTGGTTATGTGTTGGGTTTCTTTTACTGAGACATCTGCAGTCACCCTTATACAATGGCCTTGCCTAGTCTGTAAGATGTTACCATTTCTAAACATTGTCAACAGATAAACTAAATTACAAGTGGTGAATGTACTTTAATAATCAGCATGTGCCAAATCAGTACAATTGCGTCAGGATGCATGATTTGACATCATTGTTGTTGTAATGATTTATTTCTTTAGATGACGAAAGCATCCGCAGTTTGCTTGGACCTTTCCAGGCACACCAGTTGCTTCCAGTGAGAGGGGAAAAAACAAAATTTATAATTAATCCATAATGTGAAGAAGGTTAGAGAAGAAAATTTCAATATCCAGATTGCCAGTTTTCACTGGGACAAGTGAATCATAGAATCGTAGAATCATAGAATGGTTAGGTCTGGAAAGGACTTTAGAGATCATCGAGTTCTAATGGCAGGGACACCCCCCGCTAGACCATGTTGCTCAAAGCCTCATCCAGCCTGGCCTTGAACACCTCCAGGAATAGGGTAGCCACAGCTTCCCAGGGCAACCTGTTCCAGTGTCTCACCACCCTCACGGTAGAGAATTTCTTCCTTATATCTGGTCTAAATCTGTCCTCTTCCAATTTAAATCCATTACCCCTTGTCCTGTCACTGCATGCCCTTGTAAAAAGTCCCTCCCCATGTCTCCTGTAGGCCCCCTTCAGGTACTGGAAGGCCTCTATAAGGTCGCCCCAGAGCCTTCTCTTCTCCAGGCTGAAAACCCCAACTCTCTTAGCCCAATTTTGGACCCTCTCCAGTAGGTCCATGTCCTTCTTGCTTTGGGGGGGCCCAGACCTGGACGCAATACTCCAGGTGGGGTCTCACGAGAACAGAGTAGAGGGGCAGAATCACCTCCCTTATACTTGTGGCCACGCTCCTCGTGATGCAGCCCAGGATCCGGTTGGCCTTCTGGGCCGCAATTGCACGCTGCCAACCAATGTTCAGTTTTTCATCTACCAACACCCCCAAGTCCTTCTCCTCAGGGCTGCACTCAAGAAGCCATACTCTACCCAGCCTGTGTTTGGGATTACCTCGACCCATATGCAGGACCTTGCATTTGGCTTTCTTGAACTTCATAGGGTTGGCATGGGCCCACCCCTCAAGCCTGTCCAGGTCCCTCTGGATGGCATCCCTTCCCTCCAGTGTGTCGACTGCACCACACAGCTTGGTGTTGTCAGCAAACTTGCTGAGGGTGCACTTGAACCCACTGTCCATGTTGCCAACAAAGATGTTAAATAGCACCGGTCCCAGCACTGATTACTGACAAGTCGTCACTGGTCTCCATTCAAACACTGAGCTGTTGACCGCAGCTCTCAGAGTGCGATCATCCAGCCAATTCCCTATCCAGTGGGTGGTCCATCCATCAAATCCATATTTTCCCAATTTGGCCACCAGGATGTCGTGTTGGACAGTGTCAAAACGCCTTGAAGAAGTCCAGGTAGATGACATCAGTTGCTCTTCCTTTGTCCACTGATGCTGTAACTCCATTATAAAAGGACACCAGTTTTGTCAGGCACGATTTGCCCTTGGTGAAGCCATGCTGGTTGCCAGTCACCTCTCCTTCATTTTCCATGTGCCTTAGCAGAGCCTTCAGGAGGATCTGCTCCATGATCTTGCCAGGCACAGAGGTGAGACTGACTGGCCTGTAGTTCCCTTGGTCATCTTTTCTACCCTTCTTGAAAATGGGATGATACACTCCTATAGAATTTTAGGTTGTTTAATACTTTAAAAGATTTCTAAACAGCCTCTTTCCAAAAATGCTAGCAATCATATATTTTTTGTAAGGAAAGGTCTGATCAGATATAACTACGAAAATAGTTTGAAAGTGAAACCCTTGTTGTGCTAAATTTGAATTTCTAATCACAAGTACAAAATGCTCCCAATGCAGGTGGTTAGGCATAACTTTTTGAAAGAAACTATGAGAAAACAATATTTTGTCTTGGGTGACATGTAGGCAATGATTTAGATGCAGTTATGTTGTACTTGTCATAAAATTGTCAATTCAGCATGAAAATGTTGGAAAAATTCACAGTCTAAACTACCTCCACAGCAAATGTCTTACTTTCCTTTCACTTCTTCGTCTCCTGTCAATACAGAACTTCATTCTTCACTAACCTAGTGCTTACCTAAAGGGTTTCCTATCTTACCTTATCTAGGAAGAGTCAAATTCATCTCTGGCTTCACTCCTCACTGGATGGAGTAACTCCATAGATAAATTTGACATTTTGTCTTGGCATTTGGAATAGCCCACAGTTCTGCATCTGAAAATAAGATCCCATGTCCATATGTGTTAGCCACAAATGTATATCTGTTAAGCCCATATGTCAGTCTGTGGGTCACAGCTGTGCTAAGTTTTCTTTGCGTCAACATGAAAAAAAAAATCTCTCAGCGGTATAGAGAATTTCATTTATATATCTGTTATTCTTGCAGAACTGGAGTAGCCCGGTTCTGCATTGAGGAAAATGATGTTAAGTGCTTTGAGTGGGTTACGAGAGACCCAAGG